CTCTGCGCCAGTCATGCACTGATCCCGTTTGGCTTTTGTTGACAGATTAAAAACCTCATGTATCGTGACCGGTGCCGTTACGCACGCCAAAATCAAACAAGCTCAAACGATCTATCCAGTTTTGGCACGAAAGAGTCGATTTGGCGTCAATTAGACTCATTCAAGTCACAAAACAGATGAGTCTTGCTTGTAAAAATCCCCCAAATTCTACCTCATTGCGGTCTGACTGTGGCGTTGATGGTTATAATTGTCTTAAATAGAGTATAAAGTCCCTCCTACATGCCAGCGCGGATGTTTCACTCCACGCTGGGGTGCAGTGGAGTAAACTAACTACTAGGTTATTGCATGCCACTCAACATGCTATGCAGCATCCAGTCTGCTTGTTTGTGTTTCCCCTTTGCGCCCCCCAGCGTCACATCCGACTAATTGCTCCAATATGGACTGAACTGGTTTGATGAATTCAACACTAACATGTCCTCTTCTACTGAAAAACCTAAAGTTTATCCATGTGGAAGTTTGTGCTCCTGCAGCCGTACTAATGTGCCTCTTACTTCACAGTTTCTATGAGATGTTACTCTTCCGCCTTTGTGTGACACTAATCCTAATCTCTCTTTATCAAAATGTTCATATTGGAACCGTCGTAACAGAAGTTGATGTATCTGTTTCACTTACTGATGCTTACAAATGTCATGTTGTCTCAGATCTGTGTCTGTGTGGGTTCAAATTCCGCCAAAATCAAACATGTGATTCTCTTTTCTGACAGGTTTCGTTTATTTTTCTTCCATTTCTCCATAGTAATGTGCTTTTTCGTGACCAAATCCGTCACGCTGACCTGCTGTGCGCCCCTCATTCTCATGGGTGCGCGCTACTACTACAGCAGGAAAGTTATCCAGAGTTATCTGGACTGTGCTCTGCACACGGACATGGCTGACATAGAGGCTTATTACATGACACCCGCAGGTAAGACGAAGGAGAAACGTTCACTGTTCTCACTGTATTGTGACTTCATGACAGAAATACACATTGTCTGGTTTGTCAGTCGGCAACGCTCCACCACCAGAGTTGGTTTTAAAGAGGAGTCAAGAGGGATGAGGATAAAGAGAAGGTATAAAAACACATGCATACTTTAAATAAAAGGGCCTGTAACTTTGCCACAGCGGGAGGGATAAAAGTCAGAGAATCACTAGATGAAAGGCAGAGCGACTTACATATGCTTGAAACTGTACAAACTGTCTCAGCCTAGAGTCTTCAGGCAATCCAGAGGCAACTCATCAAATATGCAGCTCGTCTCTCTGCCTTCCCTCTCCTCCACCCCTTTCTTTCCCACCCCTCCTCCCTGTCCCTTTCTGCACTCCTTCCCCCACTTGCTTCCTCTCTGAGCTCCACTTAGGTCGCAGGCTGGGAGGGAGGTGAGGTGAGGGGAGGAGGAGGGGTGGTTGCTGCATCACAGGGCTATTGATCGCGTGAAGGAAAACTGCTGATACACTTTCTGCAGTACACTCGGTGTCGGCAAGGCTCATTTCCTCCCACTAAAGCTTCTAATTGGAAAAATCAATCCGCCTCTAATGTCATCTCAAACTATTCATTCTCTTCAGGAGTTGCGTTTCTGGTGTGAGCGATTGGCCGACCACATTTTCATACACACACCCCTCCTGTCCTGTAACTTCTTGGACACATTTATCCCCTGTTAACCCAAACCACGTGGGCAATATAAAAAGCAGGTGTTAGTTAAGCCAGTCAATTGCCCCCCCATTGTCTCTTTCTTTCTGACATTGTGTCCTCTGGCCTGGTAATCCACTGCATACACAATTGCAATTTAGCATTCCCATTATTGCTGCAGGGCCGTGATGGTTTAGAGGGGGTCAGGCACCACTGCTCCAGGACAATGCTAATGATTATACCCATGCAAACTGAATGGGCCCTGGGGGGGGGGGGGGCGAACACCTGGGCACCAACATGCAGTCGGAGTGGAGAGGCACCTCTCACGTCACTGTCATTTGTTGTGGTGGATGTGTGTCGTGTGTGTACAAGGAAGGCATGGCAGGTAGCACGTAGGAGTGCGTGATTGTGTACAGAATGCAAACTTAAAGCCCTGAAAACATATTTTTCTCCATTATCTTCTTATGTTGAAGTGATAGGATCCTACATGATCCACAATTTTGTACCAGAGTTATAACCGTTTTGGTTATTTTACATGAGAGATTTCTTCGTTTGTGCTGTTTTTCACTGGTTTTAAGTCTGCGGGCTCAGTTGTGGGGTTGTTTGCTTATGATTAAATTGATAAAACCACTCTAGATATTTGCTTATTTAGTTGTGAATATTTTATATTACTGAGAAAAACCTATTTAAACTAAGCTTTCGGTGCCTTTAACTCTGTATTTTGCAATGTCAGTAGGGGAACATACGGTGCCTTCAAGATCAACCACTCTTCTGCTGTCTTTTAGCTTGCTAGGAGTAGAAAATAACAAGACCTATTAACAGTGTCATACCTCAGCATGGGGATGAAAATCAGTCTCATATTGTACTTGCTAGAATCAAATATTAAGGGCTACTCGACAACCAAGAACAGTTACTTTGTGCGATTTGGCTCTGCAAATTAGTTTCCATGACACCAAGTAGCTAACTTGGCTATTCAGCAGCACTGAAACAGTGTATGTATCCTTATCTGTCATCATCTCAGAGCACAGCGTCAACAATGAACACTGGGCAGGTTTACTGTAGGAACCAGTGAAACAAGTTGGGAATGGACTTGTTTCACTTGATTTTCAAGATTAACACAACAGTCACAATAATGAGGTATGTGAGTGAGTTGTGTGGGAGGGTTTGATAGTTGCTGCCCGTATGAAAAACCTTAAGCAAGGAGGCATCAGACGTTTATAAGACTGTGTTTGTGTATATGTTTGAGGGCTTCAACTTTAGGAGCTTAAACGGAAAATTTACCACGATTTATGCGGATGTCCAATCAGTCAGTTGCAGCAATAAATTCCTGTGTTATTGACTGAGAAACCTGAGGTCTATGTCAGCAGTGCCTACATTTACCAGGATGTATTGCGCATGAGCTTCACGTCCACTGAGCAAGCTATGTTAACTGCTGAGTGCTAATCAAACTTACACAGCGTTGCAAAGTGAATTGATTCCTGCAGTTTGACAATTTCTTTTTCACACGTAGCTATATCGTTACCTTCAAGCTGAAATGGGCTGTAGTTCTTCCTTCGCACCAGCACAAACAGCGTTAGTACTGGAAGAACAGATTTCTTAGTCAAAATAACACGCACTGAGGAATTTATTGACTGTGTTAGCAAAATTTCCCTTAAAAAATATATTTTTTCATCAGTGTTTAATCACTGAGATGTCTGTATGTTGTAGATGATCAATCGGAGCATTGCAGAATATGAATGTTGTGTCGCTGCAACCCAGAAATGAATCAGCTTAATGGAGAAATTCTACTTAAAAGCAAACAGGAAGAGAGATTCAAAGACAGGGAGAAAGGGAAAGAAACAATTCTTTACATTTTTAGACAATTAAGCAAAATATGAATTCAATTAAGTCTATTAAGTGGACACTGAGCACAGGCTGCTTGAGTAATAGAGAAAGACTAAATGACTGACTGGAGCCTCATGTCCCTGTACACATCCAACGACTACACTAATCAATACTCTTATCTCTCTGTGTTGTGATCACTCACTCTGCTGCCACTCAAGGCCAGCTGTCACCTCTTTCATTTGCCACATTATAATAAAGTGTGTTGTGGGTGATTGTGTGTGTGGGTAGGGAGGTTGTAAAGCAGATTAAAGGAACAATGGTTGGGAGTATAAATGTATGAATCTGTACAGAAAAAGGACTAAAGCTTGTTTCCATAACAAAAACTGGTGCTGAGTTTTATACACATATTGATCAATATTTAATTTAATGATCAGTTTTAAATAAGTGTGACTGAATTAAACCAATCAAATTTAATATTCTCAGTCTGGATTCAGATTTCACAAGTCAGGCTGAGCGTAGAAAAAGATTACTCATAATTTCTGAAAGTCCATTTGTCAAATTCAACAGCTGAATAAGAGACGCAATTAAAATACAACATCTGCTGGCACAAATGTCTTTGTACCCTCCGACTCCTCCTCTTTCCATCCATCTTTCTCTGTCCTTTCTCGGAGGCGATAAATCAATAACGAGTCAATCTGGCAATCAATACGTCCCTCGATGGCGTGTTAACAACTACAGTGAATTTGCTGAAATACACTGTAAATGAAGACAAAATACTTTTTCTCACAGAAAAAACAGCAAAATGTCATTTGACTTCTCTTTAAACCTTTATATTCAACTGCTCTCTTTGAACTTCTGCGCTGAAAAGATACACTTTTATTAATCAATGTCAATGTCTTATTAGAAAAGACAAGACAGACAAGACTTGCAAGTTCCTCCAAACAAGAAAATGTGATTTAGATCGACTAAAAGTAAACACTGAGTCATACTGAAGCTGGTAGAACTATTTGACAAACTGTTGACCGGTTGCAGGAGTCTGTGTTTTATTTGCTGATCGGCCTTTGCACACTGTGGAAACTGAAGCCAAATAAGACACTCGACCATCTGGAGAAGTTCTTGACACAACAAATATAATCTTTGAGTATGGTTTTAAAAAAAATCTGAAGATTTTGGTTTTCTCAACTATAACGAACAAGCAACGGTAGACAAGCCAACTAGCTTTTTACACGTCTAATGCTATTAAGCAAATATTTTTAGCCTTCCAGAGCTTTAGCAAGCAGCTAAAAAAATTTAAGTCTACCTCTGGTAACAACAATTTCCAGGCAACAAACACCAGCTTTGTGAAAGTGAGCGCTTATAGCACCTTTACTGTTGTGTGGAACATTTTTCTCATTGTGTCACGGACCTGGTTCATGTCAGCACCTATCTCATCAAATAGTGTTCACACAGTGGTTCACTCCTCTCAAAGGAAACTCTCCATTACTTAATCCCGCAGGGCCCAAAAAAAAGGGCATATTTTAAAGAGCTTTTCTGTAAAAGGGAAACCAATTTTAAATACAGAAAGGAGGAGGTTTCCCCTCGTGTTCAAGCAGTAGGCGGAAGACATACCCCCCTCCTTGCACTTGCCTAATCACTATAGGTCACTGTGAAGCAGCTTAGCGCCTAAAAAGTGAATGTAATATAATGAGGGCGACACTAGACACGGAGCCAAATCCTCCCCGGCTTGATGTAATACCCACTCAGTAATACTGGCTGTTTAATGAGGCGTCATGACCACTGCAGGGTCTCATCAATGCAGCAGACATTATAATACTGCCGGTCAGTCTCGTTGTTGTAGCTCTGTGTGTGTGTGTGGTTGTGTGTTTGAGCTCGCTCTGCTCCAGGGGAGAGAGCAGCTTCCTCCACCGGTACCTGCTGTGCTTATTTTAGCTCTGAACGACAGAGAGAGGGAGACAGACAGAGAGAGAGAAAGGGAAAATGTGTGAAGGGAGGGAAGGAGGTGAGTGCTAGATAGAAAATGGGGGCATCTGGGGGAGGGGTGTGCGCCTCAACTATGAGATATTATTTTGTTAGTGTGAGAAAGAAAAGAGAAATAAACAGTTTGCGGGTTTGCACACAGACGAAGGGATCTCCTGGGTATATTTCTGACACCTCAGATTAATTAGGCATCCTTCCTTTCTATCCTCTCCTCTCCTTCCCTCCTGTTGCGGTTTTTGAGCCACAGCATTTTCTGTCTCTCTTCCCACCTGTATCGCTCCGCCTGCTCTTCCTCTTCCTCTCTATTTCTCATCTTCGCTGAAGGTGCAGAAGAGGCGCTGCAGTGGCCAACTGGGTTATCCATCATCCTGGCACAGAGGAAGTGATGTTTCCTCCTAGTTAAGGAAAGAGCGTTTAGTCTCCCTTTTAAAAACTGGAAAAACAAAATGAAATTTATACAGAAAAATGTAATTTACTGTTCATTCATTTATCAGTGGTAA